AAATAGTCGTGAATTAACAAAGACGATGATCTGTGAATTAACACAGACTTGCCATGGGCCAGAGATTGTGTGCGCGCACCTGCACACATGCTTAGAATTATTGCAGTGCGCAATTTACCACCCGTCTCGTTCTGTATTAATTAATTACATTTGGAATATTGGGAATGGAACTTGCAATTTCCCAAGTTGCTTACCTATAAATTACTGAAGTGCTATTTAAAGCACAATGTCAAATTGCTGTTTTTCAAAACCTTGGTTCTTTTCTCGTAACTATTTAATTGTGCCCATATTTTTAGGTAATTTAAATCATACAAGGAAGGAGTTCGTCCGTTTTGTAATCACACTCCTGGCAGTAATATTACGTGCCTGTAAAATGCATTTGGCCAGGCCTAACTAACAGATTTGGCACATTTAAGTGTGCCAAAATTTGTTAGTAACAAATTTTGGCTAGCCACATGTACGCATTGCGTACCTATTTTTGTTGTTAATGGTATTGTTTGAATAACATGTAGTCATAATCACATGATTTATATAGTTGGTCTACTGCTAGTAGAGAGCCAATTAACGTCTGCGAGCAGGCTAAGAGCCAATCAGATAGCAGAATTGCTAATATCCGGTAGCTGTCTATATGATGAACACAATTATTCTTCTTCTGTCCAAAAGGCCGTGGAAGTTCCGAGATAAAAGAGGTGAATATATATATATATATATAGGTCGGTTTACACTTGCAATTTTTGTTGCGATTTCTAGTGGGATTTTCTTCTTCTGAGGAATGTGAATGAGTTATGAATGTTTTGAGTATCGACCTCGTTAAAATGCCTTTATGGTTACCGTTCCAATTATCAAGAGTTGAGAGGACGAGATGACATCTGAAATTCTTGTGAAACCATCAACGCCTGCATGGTCTTGTTAATTGAAAATTATGTATCATTGAGTTATTGGCAGCATGTTGTTGCAGATTGGTGTATTTTTTAAATTCTTGAAGTATTTTGTATTTTTACTTTATTTTAGGAAAAAGTATTGCATTTTGTTATCGACTCTGACAAGGAAAGTTCCTTCATTAAAACCTTCAGAAGAAGTTCAGAGCAACGCAGTGAGTATGAAATTTGATCTGATGTGTTTAAATTTTTGTAGTTAGCCGCTAAGCCGCGGTCAGCGGATGTGATGTTGAGCGTTTAACGATTCTTTGTTCTAAAAAACTAAACTGCATATGTATACCGCTCTCTTTATTAGCTTTAATTTAGTGAGAGAATAATGCTGAATTATATACTCTTTAGTTTTACTTAGGTTTGATTTATGATACAGATTACAGGGCTATATAATCCTATATGCAAATTGACCTTTAAAATGTAAATAAGGGATTTCCCCATCATATGATTGATAAGCAAGCCTCGGCGGCTCGTGAGCACTTTTCTGTTCTTCCTGCATTATGACGTCATACTGTGTATCTATATTAATTTAAACTGAACAGACAACGGCAAAATCTTATCCATTTGTTTTATATAATAAATAGAAAACCCCCGAATTAAGCAGGTAAATAGCTTACTTTTTATCCACCCAAACATTTGGAAATTTGAAAAAGTCGAAAATTTACAAACATCACGCATACACGATCTGTACAAATAAGGGAATGCTATTAGATAAGGTTTTGTGTGGCGTAATTCCGTCACGGAAATTCCGTGCGTCTATCCCATAGAAATAATTTCTATGGTCTATCCTCTAATAGACCAATGAAAGCGCTTGAATTCTTAATTAAACGTTATATATATATATATATATATAATTTCATATATCAGTATTTGTAGTCTTTGACTTTCGCAACGCCATTCGTCTTTACTTCGAATGGAAGGAATCTTGGAGGAAGGACGTATAGAAGTTAGCGAACTTGCATGCTGATATTTGATACAATAACACGACTGCTCATATCGTTAAGTTGAGGGAAACGTGTATATACAAATTAACAAAATGTTTTATGCATTTCTTACAAGAATAATTTTACAATAATTTCGTCAACCGAAAGACGACCGAACACAGTAATGTATTGCACTTATTTCACTGCTTTTTATGGCCACTTATGGTGAACTAAAAATATAGTGGTTTTGTTCAATTTTTTATATACTTCAAACACTCATTAATAATTCATAATTCATAAGCTTATATTCTTGTGTTGTAAAAGCAAAATCAAAATTTTAAAACGCAGCACCAAGTATGCAACACCTGCTGATTAGCCAGTGGGGCTTCGCATGTTCAGCAGACATTTACGGCACGCGCAGACCGCAAGCTTAAAATCGTACTATAGACAAGACACCTGCTCAGGTATTCACACTGCCAAATGATGACATACGTGCTATGGTGTAATAGACAAGGAATACAAATGGTGAACCGCAAACGCAAAGTGTGAAAGGCTAAAAGCGTGGCGTGATCCTGAGGAGATATTTTCGTAATGTCCAATGAAACACAAGTATTACTCACAAATGCAAACGTTATCCATAAATGCACATGGTCTCTGAGCATGCGATGCACTAACGCAGACAACATTTTTATACATTCCGAAAGTCCGTAACGTATAAAATTCGAAAAAACTCAGCGATCCAGATATCGCATTTCCAGAGACGTTGCACGAAAAAGTCAACTTCCAAAAAAGTGCAGAGTAGGATAAATACAAAATCCACAGAAAAACGCGCTACAATTCGTTGACAAATGAAGAAATTGTTTCAGACTGAAATAGTCACTCATTGAATGGCCGCCATCTTGAAAACTTATCTGCATACGGGAAATCCCCTAAAGCAGCAGGTGGTCGTTGTTTCTGCCACAGAAAATATTTTGATGACTATTTATATTTAAAATGCTTATTATAATATATAAAATGCATTCAAACGCAATTTGTGGCAACACATCATGCCTGATAAGGCAAGCTCCGTTTGCTTTATCCGTATTCTGTGTATACGTTGATCCGCTATACGTAGATAGTACGTTCTAAATTTTCTGCACTCTAAAGAAAGAACTTACAAAGTTTATACTACTGTTACCTAAGACAACAGTAGTTTTTGGTCTTAGGTAAGTAATAATCGACGCTGGCCCAATATTACGCAATCTCAGACCACCAACATGGCGGCCGTGTAGTAAATGCCCAAGGAAAGATATATTTTATCACACAGGTCCTCAATAATGTTTGATGTTAAGAATATAAAGCTTTTGAAAGCCCAGCAAAATATTTCGATAAACGCTTAAGCTTTTAGAATTTTTATGACGTCATATGCAAACACTCTATCACATGGTTGTAATGCAAATGAGAAACTTGCCCTTGGTCAAGGGCCGGTTATTTCGTTCCAGTATATGTGTTCACAAACTTGTGAAGTCCAAATTCGGCTGCCCCTATATACATTGTGCTATTCAAGTTCATTGGGAACGTCAAAAACGCCGTTGATTTGATTTGATAAGGTAAAGTCATACGTTATACGAATTGCATGGTTTATAGCAAACGAATGAGAGACAGATTAGGGCCATTTATACGAGACAAAATAAGTCGCGATTTACTTGAGACGCGTTTTATATAAGCGGAGTTATGAGTTATCGTATAAATGGTTCTCTACGGCTCTAGTCTTATCTTAACCGTGGTCTTATTTACTTGCTATTTAGCTATAATGTTGTTTTGGTTGTTTTTGCTTTAATATGCAAGGATAATAATTTTACGTTGTTTCAAACTTTCAATTGTCGGGCATGTGCAGTTAGACGTTTTCATCTAAACGCGACAAGACTTTTCTTCATGTTTCCATTTGGTTGCGATCACTACTCTGACGACAGTTACAACACGTTTGCGACACTTACGACCATATATGGAAACCAGGCTTTAAGTCCAAGGTTATGTCGCATGCTTCACTGCATTTCTTTTTTTTTCTTTTGTCTTTTCTTATGCGCCATGCTTGCAAAGCTAAATAAATAAATAAATAAATAAAATAAATAAATAAATATCTCACTCGTGTGTACCAAGCTTATGTCTTTTCTGTCATTTGATATATGCTATTGTGCTTGCGTCTCATGCGATATTGTATTCTATTCATTTTTAGTATTTTTGCGCAAGTGAATATATCCCACAAGTTGATTGGTCAAATTTGACGTATTAAGCTGTTATATTTACCTACAGGTGAATATAAAAAAACCGAAATTTGCAAAATGGCGGGTAGCCGTTTTGTAGCCGTTTTGTGGAAGTTACTGATCAAGAAATAAGCGCCAATTGAAATAAATTCAGTCCCAGAAAACACACTGGATTGTGTAAAAATACTAAAATGATTATAATTGTTTAATAATTCAGTGTTTTTTTTTGGCAACAACGACGACTACCTGTTGTTTAGGAGATGCCAGGTAGACATTTTTAGTTACTAGCTGCCAAAGTTAATCTTTAACATTTGTTGTTTGCACCTGTGATTCCCGAGTTTTAATGAAGATATTTAAAGATTTTTACAGCCATTTCGCGCTCATTGTCCATTGACTCTATTGTGAAATTGGCCTCCTTCCGTCACGTCACTGTCAGACAATAGTGAATAGCGGGGACTTCAAAATTGATGTTTACGGCAAACCGCAAATTTCAAAACGTAATTTGAAGTCAACTAAAACCTTATATGGGAAGCCCAAAAATGCGTGGTATTTGGTTTTTATATGTAGTCTGATGAAAATCGTTTTTCACGCGCCAGCTTTCTTCGGGTTAGGGTAAAACGCTGATACGGACGGACGGACAGACGGACTCTCTAAAATATGTTTTAAACATCATATCCGCGTTTTACCCGATCGGGTAAAAAAATCTGATCTGCCTTTGAAAGTATATTTTACACCATATCCGCGTTTTACCCGATTGGGTAAAACGCGGATATGATGTTTAAAACATATTTTAGAGAAAAATAGGTCATCCGTCCGTCCGTATCAGCGTTTTACCCTAACCTCGAGCTTTCAAAACGTTTCCAAGCTATGGGACTACATAAACAAATACCACCAAACATTTCGCCCGATGTGAGGCGTCTGTATTCGCAGGCTACGCATTTTGGGCTGCAATGGTAGAACAGACACATGCTACTAGCAGTGCTCGTTTTTTGTCCATAAAATTATGTTCGAATCGCGCTGTTTTACAAAAATTATGCTAGTTTTTGTTAAATTATGCTATCAGTCACAAAATACACTAGTCAAAAGGGGGGTCTACTTGAAACCACTTGAAAAAACCACTTAAAATAGTTAGTCTGGCATGTATAAATTGATGTTGTGAAAGTGTTTATTGGGATGTATTTCAAAAATTGTTCTTTCAGGTTATAATTACCTCACTTAATTTTTGTTGCCATGGTAACGAAAGGCACCCTCTTATGTTTTTCATGTTTTCGCTAATATATAAACAGTATCTCCACAGGCGCTGTTACCTAACTCCAGGCGTTTTGTTCACTCTATATTAAACTCCACATACCGACTAATATCCTGTCGAAACATAACACTATACTATGACTATAGTGACGTATTGACTATAAGGCTACACCTTTTACCCTTGATATGTTTACGGACTGCTTATTAGCACATTTTGTTTTTGCTTCCGCTAACTTTTAACTTCTCGAACAACTGCAAGTTACACTCTTTCCTTGAAATTCGTCAAGAAGTCAGTATTACCAAAATCCGTGTTTGACACGCATGATGAACATGCAATAAGTAATAGAATCTAACAATAATTATTATTTTCATTTCGTAGCTAAGGACAAAGTTCTTAGACATTGTCCAACATGCCTGGAACTAAGATTACAGATGAAGACCGCCAGAGCATCGATGCAAAGTTCATCTGCACTTCGTGTAACTTACTGTTATACATTCCCTTTCAAACCGAGTGTGGTCACTTGATGTGTCAGTCCTGCATCGAAAACTTACTAAAGTATGATAACTTTTAGTCTCCTTTCGATAAATATCAGTTAATCGGGATTGAATTTATGCTTCGTCTAAGCTCGTGTATTTATTACTATACTATCCATTTTTGTCAGGAGTTTGAGGCCAAATATTTGTCCTGAAGATGGCAAAGAGTTGAACGAAGAAAAAGTGAGTATACTTTTCATATAAACCGCCTTTATGTAAATTTTCTCGACAGCCATTGAATGTACACTGTAAACTCATAAAGTTTATTAAAGATAAACGTATAAAATCCCGCTAAAAAGGCACCACATGCATGCAGTCATGTGAATCAAATCAAGTAAAGTATAATCAACTAATCAAACAAACGTATAACTATAGCAAAATAAAAAAATAAGGTAACGATTTTATGGGATTCAGCACCATGTGGATAAGTACAAGTAGGTGCCATGCAAGCTGGAAAATGAGACCGCATTTGCTGAACTGTTGTGCGTCTTGTTTTTAATGTCGGGGATATGCTCAGCAAATGTGTAACCATTTCTCTGACGAGAAATGCGTTTTCCATTGAAGATTCAAACTTTCACGAAATAAAATACAAATAATTTGTATTCACACAAAACCAAGTGAAAAGGAGTCAAGAGGTATATTCCTATACCTAAGTTATCCGTCGCAAATTAACACAGTTACATCGGAGATTAAATTTAGAATTAATGAATAATGGTAAAAGTAATTATTATATTGAGAGGGATAAAACTACCTGAAAAATAATACAAGGGGGACGTTTCAATAAGACTTCGACGTTTCAAGCGAAGGCCCTTTGTCGGGAAGTTAGTATGGCACAAAACCGGCTATGAAACTTATTCGTAGTTAGATTATTCCAAAATGGAACAATGTATATGAAGAAAGAGTATTTATGTCATATTTAAAACACGAGTAGGAGTGCTTTATGTACTGTTTAATAAACGAGCAGGAGTGTTTTATTACTGGGGGGTTTAAAGCCACGAGCGCGCAGCGCGAGTGGCTTTAGACCAGGGCGCTTATACTATGTAAGCGCCCTGCTTTAGACCTAATAAAACACGACCTGCGAGTTTATTAAACGGCTTCAAACACGGCTATACAAATTCAATAGATATACTGCCCTATTAGTATTCTTTATATAAAGAATACTAATGAGGACATGACTACAATAGATACTGCCTTATTAGTATATTCTTTATATAAAGAATACTAATTAGGAGTGTTTTATCAGGTTTAAAGCCACTGCACGTGACATATTATGGTTGACATGATTTGCCAATAAGCTTATGAATTATTAATGAGTGTTTGAACTTTGAAGTACTATTTAAAACACGAGTAGGAGTGCTTTATCACTATATAAAACACGAGAGCGCAGCTCATTGCCATTGCCATTGGCGAAGTATTTTCAATACTATCAACGTTGTATAAGAAAATCAAAGCTAAAGTTTATGTAAATGAGCATGTTTTTTAAAACTGTTTTAAATGTTTAAAATCTTTCAGGTTTTCCCCGATGTTTTTACCAGACGTCAGCTCAGTGGACTTCGTTTACAGTGTGCAAATCCTGGTTGTTCATGGCGTGGTGCTTACGAACAGCTAGAAGTGAGTGTGTTGTTTAAACGGATTTGCAAAACTGATTCAATTACAAACGGTTTAAGAGGGTACCATCTAAAATCTCTTCATTTTAGCATAACTTTACAGACAAAAACGTAAACGTACTTTTTAAGTTTGTTATGCCGCTAAAGAAACGTATCAAAATATAAAAAATTGAATCGCCATAACCAAGTGAAAAAAGTATCAGTATTCATTAGTTTTGAGTGCGTGTTACGTAACATACAAAAGATTCTCCCCTTAATTCTTTTTATTATTCCCAATCTTTTTGAAACTTCCTAAACGTTATATTTATTTCATTAACATGGTCTTTTCGCAGTCTTTTTTGTCATCAATTACAATGCAAACTGCCAAGTGTTTTACTAATTTTCTTTAAACGGTTCACTACCTATATTCTAATATAACTGGTGGACTAAGATATAGGAAATGTAAAGACACACAGAAGGTCTACTCAGCCAAAAAAGCATAACAGCTGCCCAACCTCGCAAGCCAGGGTCTTTTACCTGCGCTCGGGCTGATTGAACCGCTGGCCACGCCATGATTCAAAATACTGACGCCATGGTCCTACACGGCAAAAAACGCCGAACCCGCTGCTCAACAGGATTGAACAATGTTTTGCTGCCCACGTTGTTCACACTTGTCAACACTATTGAACAATATTGTTGAGCCTGAATCGGGTGTAACAATATTGTTCAATATTGTTGACAACTGTGAACAATGTGGGCAGCAAAGCATTGTTCAATCCTGTTTTCATCAGTATTGCAACAACCTGGTCGTTTTTTGCCGTGTAGTCAGTGCGCTTATGAGAGGCATCCCCACTGAGCGGGTATTCCCCCTGGACGTCCGCCATTTTTAATATTATCAGGGGAAAACACGACTACACGAACCGAAATAACGATTGCATGTGATTCGTCTTGATGAAAACCGTTCCAAATATACAAGATCTTTTAGATTTTACGGTCATGATTTTCTTTATGTTTCCTAGCTGGTTCGGAAATTACTAACGATAGAGAGTAAATCCACCTGTCTCCTTTTGAAGTCAGTTTGACCAACTCGGCAAGTCAACTCGTGTTAATATGTATATTTATTATACAGTAGAGAGTGAGATACTGAAAAATACACAGTGAGATATTTTCTATATATCGTTCACGTGACTTTTTTCACGCTTTTGAGTGTGAAAATTCACAATTTTGGCTTGAAGTTATGACTTTTACTTCTCGTGTCTTTTATCTCACTCGCTGCGCTCATTCGTCAGTAAAATATTGTTTTCACCACTCGAAGATATAAGTCATATCTTCGCGCCGCCGTGTAAAATCCTCTATATTGTTAGCCTCAAACCAGTTTACTTAATTAATTATGCTCGCTGTTCGTCTAGGAACATGTTCGTACGAGCTGTGAAGGTGCACCCGTGACTTGCAAGTACTGTAAGGAAGATTTCTTGAGAAAAGACATTGAAAAACACGAGAGACACGATTGCAATGAGGCTCCGGCGACTTGTGAATATGAGCCTGTGGGCTGCAATCAAGATAAGGTAATAATAATACTGCAGTAGTTGTTGCTATGTTTGCATGTGTAGTGCAGTGGTCACTACGTGTCTGTGTTGCCTTTGTGATCCGATCACGATTCTTGCATTATATAGTTGTCAGACAAAAACGTCGTCTTAGACTTAGTTGCATGTGAGAATGCAAGTCAGTGCATGTGGTTCCGGTCTGACTCTATCAAACACCGCAAATTTTCTGTCCATATTTCTGTTTTATCCTCCAATATAAAATGTCTCTTCGTTTTATTGGGCGTCTTAGAATTGATAGAGCTATTCAGTATAGAAGTTGACTGTTCAGTTTCCACACGTATAATAACACCGCCAGTGGGCAGTAAAAGAACGTGTATAGTATATATTATTATGGGGCTTCGGTGGCCAAGTGGTTAACGCACTTACCTTTCACCTCTGAGGCCGCAGGTTTGATCAAGCCTCAGTGAGAACTTTCCCAATGCGACTCGAACCCAGTCCTCATGTGAAAAGAGTAAAAGTCAACGCTCTGCCGAAAGTCGTGGGCCTTCCCCGGGTACTCCAGTTTCCTCAGTCCCACAGGGAAAGTTGACAGGGTGGGTTAGGTAAAAAAGGCCCACAGTAGTTTGCATATGCTGTTGTGGTGACCCTACCCTAGTTGGCAAAGCTAAATAAATAAAATTTACCCAAAAATACACCATGCTCAACCTCTTATTCACAGTTGCATGGGCAAAGTTCAATATAATAATCTACCCAAAAAGTTTAGAAAATGAGCCTAACGATAGTGAAAATGAAATTTGGGGGGATGTTCTGAGGAAGAGAATTTTTGGATATAGCATATTCTAACTAAGTAATCAGTTAATTCATGTGTATAACAGACAAGTACGTCATCGCATTTATTATATTTGATACAATTTGTAGACTTTGAAGAGAAAAGAACTGCGCCAACATTTGAATGATGGATTGATAGAACATGGCAGGTTACTGCTTCACAACATGCTCGTTTTCTTTCCCCAACTGAAGCACTTTATCACACGGTTGGATTTTACAGCAATCATTAATAAATTGCGCGACGACATCACCGAGATTCGGGTTAGCTTAACCGACAAATTTGTCATGGTTGTCGGAAAGTTTAATGGTTTACAAGCACGGATTGAAGGTAAGTTAACTGGCATTGTTTAGCAAACGAGAGCTCTATTTCCCCATGTTATTATGCAGAAATAAAAATAGGCATATACTGAACGTGTTCAAACCCTCGGACTTATGCCAAAATTCCACTGTTCTTTGCTTATCTGACACCACAAAATCGTTGGTCGTCGTGAAAATACTGATGTCCAAGGCATAGGTAGACGATAACACCTAGAATATTCGGATGTAAACACTATTTTGGCACGCAAAACTCGACGATAAATACACGTTTTCCCGTAAATATAACACAAAATCCTTTGATTACTGTCGCCAAGAATGTTCAGCAGACGATAGCTATACTCGGTTTGAAATATAAAATAATTATTCACACAAGAAAGACAACTAAATATAACAACTTTTCTTCCTTCGCTTTCCTCAATAGTCTAAAAGACACTAAAACCACGCATTAATCCCAATAGTTTAGCCCGTTGAAAAACTAAATTATTCTTAACTGCATGTTATGTTTAGTACAAGAACGAAAAATGAATAAATTATCCGCTCTTCTAAACAGGCATAGAAGGACGGTTGGAGTCCCAAAGAGATGTGCAAGAAGCTATCCCTAGTCAGAATGGTATTCTACTGTGGAAGATTGAAGATTTCCAGAGAAAACGGCAAGATGCCATCAATGAGGTGAAGACTGCTTTATACAGTCCACTTTTCTACAGCGCTCAGTTTGGGTTCAAAATGTGTGCTAAGATATATATGAATGGAGAAGGCTTTGGAAAAGGATCGCATTTGTCGTTGTTTTTTGTTGTGATGAGAGGCGACTACGATGCTCTTCAAACCTGGCCATTTCAAAAGAAGATCACGATGATGCTTTTGGATCAAGGCAATGGAGATCATATGATTGATGCGTTTAATTCAGATCCCCAAAGTTCCTCGTTTCAACGTCCAAAGTCTGATATGAATATCGCTTCAGGCTCCCCGCTCTTTATGCCTCTTGATTGCTTGAGTGATCGTCAGTACATCAAGGATGATGTCCTGTTTATTAAGATTATCGTCAACTGATGAAGTAGACAGGGAATTTTTCAAGAATTACTAGCGGATCAACTAGGTAACCGAAAATTTTTTACTTGATTTGACAGGATGGGTAATCGGGAGAATTTATTTTCTCTTTTCTTGTATGTACAGTGCAGCAACGAGGTGAGACTAAATTTACTAAGTACGAATTTTAGCATAAATTATTTTTAATTCCAAAGGATTATACGGAAGGTCTTTTTTCTCTCAATATTTTATAATAAAATATTGGAAAAAGACCTTCCGTATAATTGCTATGAACGGAGGTGAGATAATATTTCGCCGAGCTTTTCAAATTTTCCACTTCAACCGTACCCTACCGAAACGTAAAAGAGGTTAATAAATCCACGTACTTTCGGGTGTATTCGCGTACTACGGAAGTATTGACTAATCAACATTCACTAAATTTTGAAATATAAAAATGTTTTTGATATACGCTTCGGCACGGTACGGTTGAAGTGGAAAACTGACTTTAAAGCCAGTTTTCCACTTCAACCGTATCGTAGCGAAACGCAGCGTATTTCTTTGTTTTCTGACCACTAGAGTGGAACTAATGACTTCGACACAAAAGAAAATGCTATGGTACGTTACGACACGCTTGAAGTGGAAAACAGGCTTAAAGCCAGTTTTCCACTTCAACCGTACCGTAAGGTATCGTACTGACCATTTTCTTTCGTGTCGAAGTCATTAGTTCCACACTACCGCTCAGGAAACTAAGAAATATGCTACGTTTCGGTACGATACGGTTGAAGTGGAAAAATGGTATCAGTCGGTTACGTGTCCGTTTTTCTTGACAAATTTTCTGTCGAAAAGTGATGTGGATATTGTGAGTATGTATTTGGTGTAGTTGCATAGAGCTATGAGTCAACTAAAGTTGCCCTTTGAGCGAAAAACACAAATGGGCATAATAATAAACAATAAATGTTTATTATTATTTAGTTGTGTGCCAATGAGAATGGGTGACGAATTGGCGAAATTTTGTGTACCTATTGGGCGGCTTGCCCTCCCGGGGCTCAAGATTGAAATATTTCTTATAATCATATAGCAATTTTTGTCAAATGTAATATGGGTGAAAACGTTTATCTAAGAACTGGCTTGGTTTTTGTATGTATGTGCTTCATCTGCTGAAGAATTAGTTTCTGAGCCAGGAGGTTAATAACTTCAATTCGGGGTGAATTACCCAGTTGGGACGATCAGAAACTATTTGGAGGCACTCAGATCAGACCTGATTGGGAAGAGCCGCTAGTTCATTTTATAACTACTATATAGGAAATACTATGTAATGATTTCCATTAAAAGTACAAGACAAATGTTTTCAAAATTTTGTAACTTTCATTTTCTTGTGCCCTTTCAGGAAAAACAAATTCTTGATATCCGAAACACGAGTCCATTTTTTAGTTGCAAGGGAACTGTGCCAGCAACTATGGGTTTCGGGGTCTCCACATTTCGTGGATCTTTTGAAAATGGAAATATCCCAAATATCCCACTTATCTATATACAAAACACTAGATGGACGAATTTGGCTTGAATTTTTTCGAAATTGCATAACGTATGTGTCGAATTGTTTGCCTAATCATGCATACTCGATCGTTTCTCTCGTTTCTTTTTGAAAGAAATTGATCAAGAAATCATTTTGTTTTCGTGAAGTTTCACTTTCAAGGGCGAAGTCGCTTCAACAAGTTTGTCCAACGATTATTAAGAATGCGTTGTTTGCATCATCAAAGATATTTAAAATCTTTGTAACCGCATAAAGTATCGATGCAATTGTTTGTTTAATCATACATTTCCTTTTGCTGGGTTTTTAAAAGAAATTCATGAAGAATTTAATTTTTTCGTGAAGTTTCACTATCTGGCTATCAAGGGAGCGAATAAGTCGCTTTTGTATTTGGGTATTGTGCGGCCGCTCGAAAGAGTCGAAGCGCGCGTTGTTTGCCTTGAACTATAGACAGCGTTCGTTAAAATTACTCATTCACAACAGCGTAAAAGTCGCCATCTAAGGAATTAATACTATAATGATTTGTTTGCATGCAAAATTCAAGCAAATTTTAGCGTAAAAACAGACCGTAGCTGTACAAGTTAGTTTTCTCAGTTCAAAACTCAACATTATGTTCCGTGTGCCCCCCCCCCCCCCCCTTTGTTGAAGTAATTGAAGTACTGCGCTTGTTCGCGGGCGGCGTTTAATGTAAGACATATTATGCTAATGTACAAGTTTGAAAAAAGCTCTCAATATAACCAATGAGCTGCATGATATTTCCGTATGTTCAAAAGTGTTTGAAACCTTTAGGCCTGCTTACAGGCTAGACTAGATCTCCTCCCGGAACGATTATTTTCCCCAAGAGTGCAATGCTCCCATCCTCGTCCCCAGGGCCCCTCGGCAGCGCGCGTCCTCCATAGGCTCTAGGACATACAGAACCGGAGGTGCAAGAAAACTTGCAGTAGTTTCTAAAGCGCATGCTCTTGAATTGGGACGTTTTAGCACCCGTGGCAATTTTCACAGAGAAGTATTACGAAGAAACGAAGTATTTGTGTTGACGTATGTTGATAGAATAATTTTTTCTAGCGAAAACTGCTCAACTTCTGGGAAATAGCAGTTCTCTGAGAAGCCAATCAGATCTCTCCCTTTAGTCGTCTAACCCAGAGCCTAATTTTCAATGAGTGACTGAGTGAAAATGACTCTGGGGACGAGAATGGCAATACTCCATAAAGACCCTGGGGACGACTTTGTCCCAGTGTCTAGCGCAATAATACAGGCATTTATCACGACGCAGAACGCGCCATTTGAATGCGCAGTCGACACTGAATTAGCGAAATGTCGAAAAAGAAGAGAAGACAACTTATCATGGTGTGCCCCCTTGTCAATTTATATATATATATTGTTAGTAGAATTTGTATTGTTATACAAGAGCCTGGTCCTCACTACAATGCAAGCATAAGTTGCCCAGTCGTGCAGAACCCTTTGATGTTCTTATACTTGCGTTCTTCTCGATGTGCCCTCACTACAAGCATAAGCAACAAGAACGCAACGTTTTTATATTCTTATCATCAAAGGCGGTTTTCCACTAGGCGAAATTTTTCGATCGAACCGAAATTTCTATTGTTCAAATTCAAAAGATTTCTGATTAGTTCCATCTAAGTGCTTGCAAGACAAATAAAAAGAAAATTTCGATTCGGTCGAAAAATAAAGCCCCAGTGGAAAACACATATGCTCAAAATGATAATTTATATGATACGATAATAATTGTATGACTACTGACTACATGCATCTTCTTTAATCAGCAGCAACCACTTTAGTCATTCAGAATATTCTACTTGATAATACTTAATTTTTTGTTAAAGTTCCACTAACATGCTTAAACATGCCCCCGTTGTATAACCATTTACATTTACACGTCATTTAAATACTACAATGGCTTACCCATGCATTATTTTATGATAACTGTTCACAGACAGAATATTAAACTGCCCTCATAAAACACCATCTACATTAATTATATTAAGTTCATTTTCATTGAAATATGTTTATTGATCCTTTTTGCTGCTGGCTTCGTAAGGAGGTGGTGGGGCAGACGGTGCAAAGTTACCCTAAAAATACAAAATTTTAAACTGTCACTATTTAGTCAAATTTTGTGAATTTGGCAAATGTGTTATACATCAGACATGTTTCAGTCTATGTTTTCACTACTCTGGTTTACCTGAGGTGCTGGAACGTAAACATTTTGTCCCGAGGCATACGCTTCAGCTGCTTTGCCACCTAAAATAACATCAACAGAAGGTTAGATCTTACTACAATTTGACTAAAAGACTATATTATCTATATTCAGTTTTGTGTGGTGTTGCATATTCAAACCAACTTCAAACGCATTGACTCTTGAAGAAACGAACAAATGATGCAAAATGTTTCCATGAAACGCATTTGCCACCAAATACATATAGTGAACAATTTTGTCAGATAGATTACTGTCATACATAGTGAATCCCCTGTTTGAAACCTCTTGCCAAAAGCCCTAAGGTAGCGTTTTTCACAGCAATTTATACGAGTACGAACTTGACACAGTCTTGCATTTTTGCTGACGTAAACATGGTCACACTTGGCGACAGCAAGTTAGTGCTATCTCAGTGCTGAGTACGTTGCATTGTGAAATTTGGAACTATAAAATTACTAGCTTTCCTAGCTTTGCAGAGTGGATCCTGTTGGCAAATGCTGTAAATGATGACCATGTCAAAATGATGAGGTAAATGGAGATAAAATCCTTACCAGCACCAGGTTGTGGCGGCGGTGCGGTAGCCTGGTACGGGTTATATTGCATCGGTGGGGCACCAGTGTAAGGTGGTGGGTACGGCTAGATAGAAAATTAAGAACAGAGAAAAAATTTAACTGACACAGATAGATTTACTGGGTCTAAACTAAACTTATACTGAGTAGCTCTATCAGTTCTGAACTGTTGTCCTTAAGAATCTCAAAGATCCAGTGGGAGTCATTCCTTGCATATTGCAGTCACAGAACTAATTAAAATAATAGCATAGCAGGAAATAATGGCAGATCCTGGCATCTAGGATCTCAGAAAATTTTCAGACCTGGCTCAGCTGGGAGTAAAGTTTTAGGGCAATAGCCCTATTCATATTAGAGACGGACAAGTCGTCTAGAGAACAAATCGTCCCTAAAAAATTGTCTTCACAGACAGACAAGTAGTCAAACAAATTCAGACAACTTGTTCGTCTAAAATTTTGTATGACACGTTTTCACGTCTGATGATTTGTCCGACTAAAAGACGATTTTAAGACGACTTGTCCGTCTTCTAATGTGAAAACGGCTATTGCATAATGCTAACCGGCACAGAGAATAATTTACTGTGTTAGGAAGAATGTTAGTGAGTTTGGCAGAAAACTTTGATCCCAAAACTTAGGATCCCAGGAACGAAAAATATTATTTCTTGCTATGGTGACCACTGGTTCACCAACACACAGAATGTTGTAATGTAACCATGCAGTCACTGATCTCCTTCGACAATTGTACCTGCGGTTGGTAAGCGGGTGGTTGGTAAGCGGGTGGTGGGACATAACCGGCAGCTGGGTAACCATAGTAACCATTAGCAGGACCAGGTTGAGGTTGTGGTGGTACGAAATAATGACCATTCATCGCTGGTTGATGCATCGCTGGACGACCATTTGTCCTGGCTGAGAGAATAATTCAAATTGCCATAAATAGCCAGCAGAGATTGAAGAAATAGAATACAGTTGGATGTTTCCAATATGGACAGTGTACAAAGACAGGGAAGTGTTGGTATTAGAGAGATGGGTGTATTAGAGAGATATCTAATAGAGAGGTGTCCCTATTAGGGAGATGTCCGTATTTGAGGAGTGCCCTTGTTAGAGAGATGTCCATATTAGAGAGGTGTCCAAATTAGAGGGGTGTCTGTATTAAAGAGGTGCCTGTATTAGAGAGATGTCCATATTAGAGAGGTGTCCATAATAGAGATGCCCATATTAGACATGTATGTATTTAGAGAGGTGTCTGTATTAGAGAGGTGTCTGATTAGAGAGGTGTCTGATTAGAGAGGTGTCTGTATTAGAGAGGTGCCTGTATTAGAGGTATCTGTATTAGAGAGGTGTCTGTATTACAGAGATATCTGTATTAGACAGGTGTCTGTATTAGAGAGGGTTCCCTATTAGAGAAGTGTCTGCATTAGAGAGGTGTCTATATTAGAGAGGTGTCTGTATTAGATATGTGTCTGAATTAGAGAGGTGCCTGTATTAGAGTGGAGTCCATATTAGAGAGGTGTATGGATTAGAGAGATATCCTTATTAGAGAGGTGTCCATATTATAGTGTTTTACCATTTCGGACCGCCCTTTGAAAGGCTTCTGCAAACTCAATGGCTCCACCTTTGGAAAAGGTCACTTTAAAAAGTGCATCACCTTGCCAACCAGCTGGAAGAATTAATAAGATTATTTTAAATACAAACCTAAAAACATATATGTTGGTAAATATATCCATACCACAAACATAGGACTCAATGTAGGTCATATTTTACATAATATTTTTCAGGTAGCTCTGACAAACCAGGACATATTATGAAAACTAAATTAGAGTGAAAGTACCTCCTGGCTCGGCAGTGAGGTCCGCCTGAAGATAGTTTGCTCCAAATATCGGCTGTTTTATCTATATAATTTACAGGGAGATTGTGATTAGTAATTTGTGAAATATTTAGGGTTTTCATTAATAACAATCCAATGTAATGATTTTTCTGGCAATTGCATGTAAAGCAAAGTTCACAAATTGATACTGTTTTTCTGGCATTCACAAAGATATCAAAGCAAGCAACGACTGGATAGTGTGGGAAACAGTGGGATTTACAAAACAATGAAAAGTTGTGACTTAATTGATGGACTTAGGCCCTTACCAGATGGAGGCAAATTACTTGGCTAAGCGAGTTGGAAAGCACATAAGATTGATGCTCAGGCTAATTAGTCTTTCATTATATGCAGTTTTCAACTTGCTTAGTGGGTAACTTGCCTCCATATAATCGGCCCCTAAAAACCCGATGTTTAAATTTGATACCTGTATTTTGCTTGTCCGTTGCAGAATGAGTCTGTCAGTCTGAGGTTGTGGAACCAAATGTATTGTCAATTGCACAATTTTGCTAAGTATGGGGCCAATTTTGCCTTTTAAACTATATATACAGGCCACTGTGAGGTGTGATAATCTACTTTGATACCTGAAATTTTCTTCTACATATTTTATTAAAGTTAGACTATATTAACTACGGTTCATATTCAAATTCACCTCTAAATTACGTATGAAATGAAACGCCATAGTTATTGTCTGACATTGGTCATTCGGTTTTGAGTTTACAAAAATAACCTACAAGATACAATAAAAAGAGAAACATTTTACATTTCCTTACAATCAACATTTGCTCTGTGTACGATTTAAACGATGTAGCTACCTTCTGTCCAGTTAAAATCAGCCTTCCTTTCCTAGGAGCCAATAAATATCCAGGCAAGTTCCCCGATTTTTCAAAGCTGAATTCAACCCCATCCTTGTCAGTTAGGACACTGTAAAGACGTGAACGTGGTGAGAAGGAACTGAATTACATTTTAAATTATAGATTTTCTTCACTTACTAGTCGTTTGTCAAGAAAAGTTGACCGTTTTGGGCTTTTGTTTGATTCACTGCCATATTTTCGCTTCTCTTCAATCTCTTGTTTGTTGTTTTTAAATGACGTAATGTCCGTGCTGCGTATAATTGTAGTACACTTAGGTATACTTAGGTACATGTACAGGTACGTGATATACATTAGCCTACACTAAATTACACTTATGTACATTTAGGTATATTAAGGTACACTAATCTCTACAGTTATGTACACCTGGCTACATTTTGGTATACTGAGAGACATTTAGGTACACGTAGGTATACTTATGTACATCGTAGTACATTGTGGTACACTTATACACAGTTAGGTACACTATAGAACATTATAGTACATTACAGTACATTAACATACATTATCATACATTTATGTCCATTGTACTACACATAGGTACACATAGATATACTGATATACATCAGGGTACATTTGTTTACAGTGTAATAGGGACACTTAGCTACATGAAAGTACACCGAGGTACACTCGAATACAAACGGCAAAGCACGCTTTCTTCGCGGCAACACCATGGCCGACTACGAAATCGAACAAGATGTGACGAAAAAATTGGATTCTCTCCGCAAAGATTCGTATATTAAATCAGAAAATGGTAAGCTTTTTTGTTCTTTGTGTTGTTGATTAGTTTGGGCAATTAGCCGACTTGTAATATGGGAAACGTGTCCGTTTTTCTGAGCTGAAAATTCATATATTTCAAGTTCCAAAATATATGAATTTAAAATTAAGAGAGGCTATTAAAGTATTTTAAGAGACAGAGAATAGTAATAAATAGCGACTGTACTTAATATTAAAGTAGAGTTTGGCTTTCCTAATATTACTCTATATTTACTGATCATGCAGATAGATGTTTTTGTACTACAAAATCAAAATGTCATCCAATGTTTATGTAGTCTGAGGGATTTTACTATTAACCAGAACCGAGACCAGAACAAACATCCCCAATCATTAAACTCGGGTTATGGCAAATCTCAGCATGAAATCCTTTCACCTTGTGGGTGGAATCATGGCATTTTTTTCAGTTGCTTGCAAGCAGGCAGTGTGATTATGTCAATTATTAAATGAATTTAGGACACACAAAACCACACAATATTCAAGTACAGCTAACCATACTATACTGTAGCCAGGGTGGAAAGTTTGTTTTTTGTGCGCCGAAGATTTGATCAAGGTTCAGTAACATGTGCCAGTGACTGCACAAATCCTGTTTTAAACATGCGCCACCGAGTTGCAACTTTAGAGTGAGACAGCACAGATACTATAAACATTTGAAATATGGTTGTAGTGTGCACAAGTAAATAATTTTTTGTACGCCAGGCGCCACACCAGTTCATTCTCCATAATTCTGAGCCAAAATGGAGCACATTTATGAATTTTCCCCGCTGAAGATCTTCGGCGCAACCTACAAACTTTCCACCCTAGTACTGTAGCGTAAGCCTATTTTTAAAAATTAAAGACCGTCAAGACCGCCCTGATAACGACAGACGCAGAAGAAGGTCGAGGTCACGATCACCAAGGAGAGATCGCGACAGAGATAGACGTCAGAGATCGCGAAGCCCTGACAGGGACAGACGAAGGAATAGGTCACCTGACAGAGGACGACGGCCAAAAAGGTAACAATTTTATTTAACCCAAGCCACAATAAGACATATTTAATTATGCACTGTCTGTGCCAGTGTAGGTAGTGCTAATAATATGAACAAGCTTTCGTTGGTAGGGATGCAACTACCTGAAAATATAAGGAGAATTTTGATGTTTCGAGCGAAGGCCCTTCGTCTGGAGTTACTAGCTTTTGAAGACGAAGGGCCTTAGCTCGAAACGTCAAAATTTTTTCTTATATTTTTCAGGTAGTTACATCCAGGCTACCATCGAAAAAACTTGTTCATATTTAATTATGTTAAATTGAAGGATACTCCCCTTCAGATACTTTTTGCTATAAACATGGTTCCCACTTTTCCCCAGAAATTTCCTCCCTTGGGGAGTCTGGAAAACGTCATTTCATATATATTCACATCGTCATCATGGCTGCTGTTGAGCACTCCACTGTAAAGATTTTTATAATTTTAATCCATTGAGCACCAGGGGCGGATCTACCGGTGTTGTGCAGGGGGGTGTGAACCCCTCTAGTGGTGTCCAGCACCTATATTGAAAAATGGTTGCTAAATGTTCTAAAATGAAGAAAATATAGCCCTGTGAAGTTTGCAAATTTTGTATATATTTGTATTACGTGCGGTAAAAATAACCACTTTCGGCTCAAAAATGATTATTTTTCCCACACTTAATGCAAATATATACAAAATTTGCGAACTTCACAGAGCTATATTTTCCTTATTGGGTTGTTCCAGAAAAGATCCATACCCCCCTACGGAGGAAATTGAAAATAACCCCCTCCCCCCCTTCGGACATCCTTGAATGGTTCTTCCTCCCCCCTCTCCGGACATCAAAGCCCAAAATTACCCCCCTCCCCTTCGGACATCCACTATTTCTAAATTTTTCTAAAGGCTACCTCGCCGTTTGAAAACGTCACTGAAAATAGACTACGTTCACACTATGCGCAAGCGAACTAATGCGGGCAGAATTTACGTGTGTTCAGACTAAGCCATTACAGTTTGTACAAATTGAATTAGCACTCGTGTAAACCCAAAATATTTCAAATAGACCCAAGAAATTTAACTGAAAAGCATTCAAGTTTACACGTTTGTGTTCACACGAAGCTATCAAGCGCTCCGCCGTTTCACCTCGCTCCGTTTAGAAACCGTGCTCAAATTGTTACGGCAAAAGTGACGTGAAAGTTTTCAAACGATTTCGCTCCAGCGTAGAG